CACACACACAGACACACACACACACACACACACACACACACACACGGATGCACATACACACAAACACACACACAAACACACTTAGTTTTATTCGCGAACACATGCATCTTAACTTTCTTACAAATGAAGTTTGATGTATGTTCTTTTGTTGAGGTCTTGACATTTGATCACTGCGTATATTGCTTCAACCGCAATGGTGGGATTGCTGCCGCCACCTACCCACACTTAGTCACCTACCGATTGAACCTTCAAACATCTGACCGTACACCCATTCGACCACCTCGCCATCACCCTATCGTTGCACCACGGCATCCAATGGTCGGGCTTCAACGAGGCACCCTACCATCCGAAGGCGGAGCTTCAACGCTACACCCCACCATCTGATGATCGGGCTTCAACACGACACCCCACCATACGATGTTCGAGCTTCACAGCTCGACCCGACCGTCCTGCCATCCTACCATCTCACTATCCCGCCTTCCAGCAATTTCACAATCCGACCATCCCGCCTTCCAACAATTTCACAATCCGACTATCCCGCATTCCAGCAATTCTACAGTCCGACCATCCCGCCTTCCAGCAATTTCACAATCGGACCGTCCGACCATTGGACTGCCCAACCATCGTGCCATCCGCCCAGCCTAACCTGAACCCTGTACCTTTAAACGTTCGACCGTACACCCATTCGACCATATCGCCATCACCCTGTCGTTGCACCTCGCCATCTGATGGTCGGGCTTCAACGCGGCATCCTACCATTTGATGGGGGGCTTCAACGAGGCACCCCACCATCCGATGGTCGGGCTTCAACGCGACACCCCACCATACGATGGTCGAGCTTCACCGCTCGATCCGACCGTCCTCCCATCCTTCCATCCTGCAACCCTGCCATTCTGCCATCCTGCTGCCCGACCATCCTCCCATCTTGCCATTCCGTCATTCTGTAATCCTCCCATCCTCCTATCCTCGCATCCAACTACCCGACCACCCCACCGTCCTGCCATCCGAGCGCCCGACCATCCTGCAGTTCTCTCATTCGAACACCCGACCATCCAACCTTCCTACGTGCCGCCACCGGACCAACCGACCATCATGCCATCCGACCACCCCACCGTCCTGCCATCTGAGCGCCCTACCATCGTGCAGTCCTGCCATCCGAGCGGCCCACCATCCTGCAGTCCTGCCATCCAAACATCACCCTATGGTCGCGCCGCTCCATCCAATGGTCGGGCTTCAGCGCGAAACCCAACTCTCCGATGGCGGGGCTTCAACGCGACACCCCACCATCCGATGCTTGGGCTTCAACGCGACACCCCACCATACGATGGTCGAGCTTCACTGCTCGATCTCACCGTCCTGCCATCCTTCCATCCTGCAACCCTGCCATCCTGCCATCCTGCCGCCTGACCATCCTCCCATCTTGCCATTCCGCCATTCTGCCATCCTCCCATCCTCCAATCCTCGCATCCCACCACCCGACCACCCCACCGTCCTGCCATCCGAGCGCCTGACCATCCTGCAATCCTGTCATTCAAACACCCGACCATCCAACCTTCCTGCCTACCCGCCACCAGATCAACCGACCATCATGACATCCGACCACCCCACCGTCCTACCATCTGAGCGCCCTACCATCATGCAGTCCTGCCATCCGAGCGGCCTACCATTTTGCAGTCCTGTCATCCAAACATCACCCTATGGTTGCGCCGCTCCATCCAATGGTCGGGCTTCACACGATACCCTACTATCCGATGGCGGGGCTTCAACGTGACACCCCACCATCCGATGGTCGGGCTTCGACGCGACACTCCACCATACGATGGCCGAGCTTCACCGCTCCACCCGTCTGTCGTGCCATCCTGCCATCCTGCGCCCGACCGTCCTCCGATCTTGCCAACCCGCGTGCTCTTCTATTATACGCCTCTGTGCGCGGTGAATGTCTATTTTATATGCTAATGAATTTATAAAATCCGACCTCCTTTCAGACTTCATGGTTCACGGGGTGCAAAACTTTGTACTCTCAAAACTATGTTAAAGACGAATGTGTCCGTCGCCACAGTAAGGACAGTCGTACACGTCTCTGCTCCAACCAGTGGAAAATGTCACTGCTTTCTTCCCCCCACGTGCGTACTTTTTTCTATTGAAAAGAACATCCAACGTGTCATCTCGATGTTCGACGGTCCATGATATCTCTTCATAAGTGCCGAACAGATAATGAACATGACTGTGCACTAAGCATTCTATCCTCATGTCGAGCTCTTTCCTTAGAGCATGATCATGGGATATTCGAGTTTTGAAGCGCCCAAGCGATCCATCGAGTGTAGGGTCGTTGAATGCTTCCTGAGATGTAAGTGTGATATTGTGAAACTCCTCTCTAGCAAGGAAGAACGCATTGATTTTTTTATCGTTCACCTTGGCCGCTGTGAAAAGTGTCACAATGGTGGTGTTACGATTCAACACCCGGATTCGACCGTAGAAATCTACAAAGATCGGGAACGACAAGTGCAGTTTTCCGATGTAAAACCAAGCACATTGTTTGGCGTGTTTCCTGTCCCACTCTAACCATTGCTGCTTTACACACAATGTTTTCCACACGTCAATCATCTCCATTGATGTAATAGGGTCTTCAATACTGTCCTCGGCGTCGGGCTCCACATCGACTTCTTGCTCCAACGAGTACAAGTACCAGAAGTCTTTGCTGTCGTCGCGATGAATCTGTATGTCGTTCCCTCCCATGACCCAAGACATGGGGATTTCACCGCCCGGCGCCACATTTCGGACAAGGTGCAAATAGCGAGAGTGTATGCTGACGATATCATGTTCCCATATATTTTTTTCGAATATTATGAGATCCAAGGTCCGTGCATTTGAATTGTTGCCTTGTGATGAAGTGCCAGTCAATGATGCGTTATCGTGCGATACATTGTGGTTGGCATTCATCCTGCAATACGAGAACATGCACGACGAAAATAATGTAGCATATGTTTCACATGTTGTCACTACCATGCACATTCAGTCACTGCCATATGCATCTTTAACATTTCGCAATCTTTGACAGCCTTCGCTATAGGACCCCCCCCCCCACCCCCAACCCACACACACACACACACCCGGTTATGACTAACAGGCCAGCTCACATCACAAATACTCATACAAATGAATACATGGTAACATAATCGTTACACGTGTTTCGTCTTCTCTACATTCAAAATAGGAACCCATTATGACTCTTCCCTCGATCCCTTTAACGACAATGTCATAACCAGCAATACACCTGGCACGAAACTTTGATAGGTTTGCTAAATCCACGGGACTCTACGTGAATCCCTCCAGTGTAGCCAAACACCATCCTACCGCAAAATCATCCCGTAGTCCTACAACCGACCATCCCACCATCCCACCAACACACTATCATGCCGTCCTATTATCCTACTATCTTATGGCCGAGCTTTGTCACGATCCACGATCCTATGATCGAGCGTTCCCCTTGCACACATGGCTATTATGTAGCACTTGTCTAGGTTTTCTCTACCATCCCGCCATCTTGTAGTCGAGCGTCGTCAATACAGTGATTGACGACCGACATAAGTTCTTTTGGTTTGCCTGACCATCCTGCCATCCTCCTATCCTACAATCGGGCATCCCACCATCTCGTTGCCACATCATCCCCTATCCTACCATCTGATAGTCGTGTTCCGCCATGACACCCGACCATCTAAGAGCCAAGTTTCGCCATGACGCCCGACCATCTGGTAGTCGAGCTTCGCCATGATGGACTTGTCTAGGTTTTCTTTACCATCCCGCCATGTTGTAGTCCAGCGTCGTCATTACAGTCATTGCCGACCTGCATAAGTTCTTCGGGTTTACCTGACCATCCCGCCATCCTCCTATCCTACAATCGGGCATCCCACCATCCCGCTGCCACACCATCCCCCATCCTACCATGATAGTCGTGTTTCGCCATGACACCCGACCATCTGAGAGCCAAGCTTCGCCATGACGCCCGACCAGCTGGTAGTCGAGCTCCGCCATGACACCCTACCATCTGATAGTCGAGCTTCGCCATGACGCCCGACCATCTGATAGTCGAGCTTCGCCATGACACCCTACCATCTGATAGTCGAGCTTCGCCACGACGCCCGACCATCAGACAGTCGCGCTTTGACATGACCCCCTATCAACTGATAGTCGACCTTAAACATTATGGCAATTCATAGCCTGTCGCCCTCTCAGCCCACCATCGTAGCAATCTACCAACCTGCCTGCCTACCGTCCCGCCGACGTCACAATGAACGATCCTATAAGTTTCACATCCACACATCACTAACATTACACCATCCTATCATGCGATGGTCGAGCGTCGCATAACGCCCTGCCGTCTGATAGTCGAGCCTCGCCACGACGCCCGACCATCTGACAGTCGCGCTTCGACATGACCCCCTATCAATTGATAATCAATTGATAGTCGACCTTAACCATTATGGCAATCCATAGCCTGTCGCCCTATCAGCCCACCATCGTAGCAATCTACCAACGTGCCTGCCTACCGTCCCGCCGACGTCACAATGAACGATCCTATAAGTTCCACATCCACACACCACTAACATTACACCATTCTATCATGCGATGGTCGAGCTTCGGCATAACGCCCTGCCGTCTGATGGTCGAGCGTCCCACGGTGACAGACAATCCTCCTATGTCGCCACCTTGCACCCTGTCGCACTGGGATCTTACCATCGTACCATTCAACGAACTGGCCATCATACCTTTCAGCCATCCTCCCATTCTACCACCCTGCCGATCTTCCACCCTGATATATCACTTGCCTACCATTGCACCATTCAAAAAAGTCGGCGTCCTACCACCATACCAGCCTGCCATGTTACAATCGATCATCCCACCATCCCGCCAACATTCCTCACCGAATAATCGATCATCCCACCATCCCACCATTCAAAGAAGTTGGTGTCCTACCACCATACCAGCCTGCAATAATCGATGTGATTGCTCACCTTGTAGACATGGATGTCTTTGCGGAACACAAGCAACATCGAATGGGATTTGCCCGTTCATCCGCCGACAGAGTTGCTTCACACATATGTTTTTTTTTAACTTTGTTTTCTTCGTTTTCTACACTATCCCTGTAGTATACACCCAACGAAGTACTTCTGTAGCACTTGTTACAGCAATGCATGTTCTTTTGCTAGTATAAAGCAGCATTGCGTCTCTAATCACACTACAAACGCACATCACGTGACTGGATATCCAAAATTCTTCATCGTCCGTCTCTTCGTCGGCCAACAGTCTACTTCTATCGATGCGTGTCACACAATGTGTCATTCCATGACGTGCTTCGAAAGCAATACATATAACTGTTCCTCGTTCACGAAAGCGCGAATCGCATAGTCGACCAGAACCATAATATACATTTTTTCATTTGTTGGTGCCCTCCTTCTTATACATCGAGGCAGGTTCGCATGTCTTAGCCAGTTTGAAAAGTCTTTGTTGCATCTGCGGCGTCCTGAATTCCATTGTCGGGTAAAACATGGATTCGTCCATTGACAGCAGCTCAATAGCGGTCATCCTTCGCCTTGCCCGATAAGGTATAAGGTCATCATATTGAATCACCTTTCCCCACTTATCCGCTCGGCGACGCCATGCTTGTTAGATGTCCATCTCCATCGGGGTTGCAACGATTGCGCTGTTCCGAAGAAATAAATGACATATACGTCAGCTGATGCAGCAGTCATTCTGTGCATTTAGTGTGCGTGATCTACTGCTGCCAGTGATTTGATTGCCTTCAATGCGTCACTTTTTCTGATTTTTAATCCAGTTTTACCTTTCTTTTCGTTTTTCCATCCCCATGCCACACATGTTATGTTTTGCCATCCAGGCGAAGATTCGTGTTCAACGCGCCATGTTTTGTTCCACACGTCTTCGTACAACTTACACATATTGGTCTCTTTGCCCTCTGGCCTCCAATACTCTACGAGAATTTTGTCTGAGTCCTCAGATTTCTCTTGAACACATCCTATTCAAAAACTAACTCCTTTGTCCGCATTCTCGTCTGGAGCGCGTATCACTACGAAACAACCGATATCAATATGCTTTGTCGGGTCGAACTCCGGTTTCGGGGCATCACTTTTATAACCTACGAAACATGGTTTCCTCGGCGGCGAATCGGCAATAGAAAGTTTCACCTTCACCTCTTCTACGCTTCCCGTCATCCGTGTTGGCCAGAACGGAGTTGACAACGGAGCAGGTTGCGAGGTTTTTTCCTGTTCCAGCTTATTGAACATGTCTGACTGTTTGTCCCAGTAGTCCAGACGACTTATTTCCAACTGACGTTTCCATTCTTCGTGTTTCTCGAATTCTGGTCGCTCGTCTTTCCACTCCTCGACCAAGGCACTGACACCTTGGCGACGTTTGACAAAGTCTCCGTTGTCCAAGTTCAACTTCAAGGCAAACTGTTCCAACGGAAAAGACGGCCCCGCCCATCTCCCGTATCTATCCCGCTTGAACCAGTAAATTGCTCCGCCCTCCGGCATCCATTCACTGTCATTGCAATGCTCTTTGTAGACCATCGCAGGGTTGTCTCCGTCCATATAGAACTTGAACAAGTGCGGAGTGGAGTAACCACCAATACGCACGTCGAGGAAGTCTTTGACTGCACCTTTCCAATCCGCCATCTCATTGATAAACGTGCAATTGACCTCATCCTTTGTGGAATTTTTAAGTGCGACGAATAACTCGTCCATCGTGTAAGCATCCGTGTCCGCTAGTTTTCTAGCAAATAAGCCGAACTTCGCGTCGATGTCCGTATGCGTGTGACCCACTATCATAAATCCCATTTCAACAACCTCGAAAATGCGGAACTTCACCAATAATGTTAGGTACGCGAACACATACCTATTTTTGTTTTGACTACCGCAGTTGTCGGCTTGGAGTCTGAAAACAGGAGGCAACACTCCCGACCGTCTCTGCACGTCTTTCAACACCTTAGCGATCGAAGACACAATCGAATCCGGACCATGGGGAAATAAAGGAAACCATGTGTGCGCAAGAATGTGTGCGCTCCTCCCATGCACGAGAATGCCCGTGAGGTTTGTTTTCATCATTGTGCGGTTATCCATTGCCTTTGATGTCCGGTTCCTAGCTGTGTGAGGAATGAGAGTTTTTGCTTGGTCCATACCATCAATTATGATGCACAAGTTTTTTTCTCTCATGAACCTAGATTCGGCCGACCATATGTCATAGTGTTTCCGATGCGCCTCTTGCAACAGTCTATGGCGATTCAGTTTTGCAACAAGACTGCGTCTCGCTTCTGGCTTGGCCCCTTCAATCAGGTCTGTTTGTTTGGTGCAGTAATTGCATGTAGCGTAGTCTGTCGACCTAGCAAGGTGAACATGCCAGAAGAAGTCACGCCATATACTCCCGAAGACTTGCAAAGAGCAGCAGTCTATGTCCTGTTTCTGCAACCGTCGTTTGATGCTGTCGTAGACGTCATTTTTAGTTGCATAAGTTGGAGGTAGTTTGACCCGTGGTCTTATCTCGTAGTCTTTGCTCATGTCAGTCTGGTCAGGCATCGCGTCACCCTCCTCCATTATCATTGTCTCAAATATTTTGAAAGTCATAGCATGAGTCGCGGTGTCGGCGCGAATACCCTTACAAGGGTATCCGCCCGTTTTTTTTGCAAATGACAGAGAAAATGGGCCTTGCGAGGCGCGACCGCGTCCGGGACCCGTCCTGACTAAGTTAGAGGGTATGTGGGCGGGCAGTTTTAAGGCGCGCATGTGATTTTTCTGGTTGAGTGAGCGGCCGGTCTAGGCGGCCGACCTGGACCATGCTGCGGTTTTGTTTGGGGGATGAAAGCCCGTCTTTGGCTGGTGTGCGTGACCGACGGTGGGACTGCTGGTGTGCGTGACCGACGGTGGGACTGGCACGCCACTAGGCGCACGGGGTGGCGACGGCGCGGTCCGAGTAGGCCGGTGCGGGTATCTAGTGTTAGCGCGTCGGTTGCGGGCGGGAAAAGGGGGCCTAGGCTGTTTTTCCCAGGCCTAGGCACCGCGCGGTATCACTTCATATCGAAATTCGCGCCTAGTTATTTCAGGTTTGGGCTTAGCCCTATAGGTTATGGTATTGGACTATTGCTACGGAAGATCAGGGAACGAGGCCAGCGTGCGGCAATGAAGGAGCAGCGGAGTGTTGGAGGAAGCTGAGGGGTTGAAGCCCCGATGGAGCTATCCCCCTCAGTTTTGTAGCATGCGTAGTGACAGGCCCGACCTAGGGAACTGGTGAGGGGCCGATAGCCCCCGGTCGCGCACCCAGGAACGGTCGAGCCACGAGGTGAGTGGCCCTGGCGCGTCCGTGGGGGCACTGTTCCGGCCTATATCCCGTGGGACATCTGTTAAAGGTGGGGACGATATAGAGAAGGTTGGCGTGGTCCCTACGACAGATCGACACGTATAAATCGCGGGCGGGGGCCCGAGCACCCGAGGTTGTTGTGTTCTTTTTTTGTATGTGCGAGCGTTTCCTTCTTTTGTGGAACGCTTCGGGCGCGCGGCTGGAAGATAGTGTGGCGGGGCGGTGCTGGCGCTGTAACGAACGGGAACCGCGGTGACGGGCGTGAACCGGGACGGGAAAGTGAGCTGGGCGCGGGCGGGTGAGGTGGCACGGTAACGAGCGAGGGAGCGATGGGCGACGTAACCGAGATAGATAGGGGATAGGGCAGGGCCACCACGACTACCGAGAGCCGGGAACAGGGGGCGGAGAGCCAGGCAGTGGAGCGCTGGGGGTTGAGCAAAGGCCCAGTGGGAGAGAAGAGTGAATCGGGACGCGGAATCTGGATAGGTGCATACAGGAGTATAGTGGGGGATGAACCCGGCGCGGATTTGCGCCCGGGTACATTCGACAGGGGAAAGATAAAGGTAGCGGGAGAAGACAAGCGGAGGCGGGGTGAGGACGACGGAAGTGAGGAGGAGCGACGAGCAGGGCAGCGGAGGTAGAGCGCGGAGTGCCAGACAGCGGGTGACGGGCGCTACGTGAACAGCAGCAGCAGCGAGGGGGCGCAGAGGAACGGGCTGCAGAGGGGAGTGCACCCAGACGCTATCTTCGTCCGGATTCATTCACGGGCTGAGACGGGGGAGTGATGGCGATGGCCGGGGTGAAGGTGCGAGATCCCGCCCGTTACTGAATGAAAACGGGGGGGGGAAGATGTTAACTCCGGGTTATTAGCCGTGGCGAACTCAACTGCGGCGGCGTTTTCGGTGGAAAGGGGGTGGGTTAGGAGGCAGAGGAGATATGGGGTGCGCTGGGCTATGGCGGGGAGCGGAATGTCGAGGGAGGAGGGATGAGATAACGCTCGATTTTTAGTGGGATCGCATAGGAAAAAGGGTTGATTCTCAGATTACGGAGTAGGGCGAACCGATTGGCATGGCTAGTTAGCGCGTTAAGGGGCTGTGTAGAGAGTAAGTAGGGATAGGCTGCGCGGGGAGGAGATACTTACCTTTACACGGGAAGACGTACCTTTCCGAGAATTTGCGGAAAGTACATTCCGGCTGGCTCGTGTTAGTAGGTGGGGGCTAGCGAAAAGGGGGATAGCATGAGATTAGGACACCTACCCTGGCATATGCTGTCCGGGGATCTATTCGCACAGTGTCTGACCGATGGAACTGGCCGCGATAACGAGCTCACCTGGACGAAAGGGTCGGCCAGGGTCGTTCGAGGGAAGGAGGAGAATGGGAAACGCTTATCCCGTGTGATTCCGAACGGTTTTGGGCGGGATGAAAGTTAAATCCGTAGTTGGAAGGAGGGCGACTTCGATCATGATGTTAGCTTCGGTGAAGAATTAGTAAAAGGAGTGTTAATCGAGAGGAGGACTGCACGCTGGTGTTGATGAAGTGGGAAGAAAAGGCAGGAAAGGAAAGGACACGTACCTGGCCGTTTTCTTGGCTAAAGATTCATTCCGTTTTTGTTCGAAGTAGCGTGAGCCTGGCCATTAGTATATTGGTTCGATAAGAGAGAGAGAGAGCCTGAAAACAGACTTACCTGCCGGATGAAAGGGTCGGAGCACAATGAACCGAAAGTCAAGGACGGTACCCGGCTGCGCGCATGGTTGAAAGGGCAATGCGTAGGCCCCCATTCTAGGAGGGGATTCGTTCTCAGCCAGATGTTGGCAGAGCGGGCACCAGGGGGCAGGGTGGGATTCCCGTAGCAATCACCTTCAGCTTGTGGCTCACGCTCGGGCGAATGAAGACGATGGGTATGTTTGCCTGCCGCGAGCCGTGTCACTAAGCTATTGTACGGAGTTGACGGGGCAAAGGCCTGGTGCCCTTGTGAATGAGGAATGATTCTGGGAATAAGAGGTGCCACTACCGGCTTGCAGAAGCTCTGTCGACTGAGCCTTATCCGAAGGCTCAGTCCTGTTCTGCTCAAAGCAAGACGCGATAGCAGACAAGGCCAGCACGACTAAACTGCCAAAGGAAGGGAGCCGGGCCTGTCTATCTGGGACAATCTAATCACGGCCGAACAGCTACTGTTTGACTACGGTGTACGACTGCACGCAGCGACTGGTTACGGTTGGCGGCAGTGTCCATGTAAGTTGTTGCTGGTAACTGCTGCGGGTGACAGGGTGTTGCTACCGGTGATTGCTGCTGCGGTTGGGGAGGATCTGCTGCCGCATGCTGTGCGCTGGTGATCGCTGTGTGTGGCTGTGATGCTTATGGACTATGTGCGGGTTGTGGCTATCGTAGGGCACCACCACTTCTGACGGCCCCTAGGGCAGGAGAGGGTTTGGAGCGGTGGTGAGTTGTCTGGCGCATCACCAGCAACACGCTGACCCTTCCGCCCGGAACTTTATCGTTCCACCAAGATAAATCGCAACAAGGAAATGAAACAAGAATTGGCGAGGGATATCTCCTCCCTTCTATTCACCCCAACCTTCGACTGACCCTTAGTACGCGGGCACTTCAGGCCACGCTAGTTCCACACGTAGGTACACATGCACTGACACATACATATGCACAAGGGGGATAGTTATGCAACGATCACTTCTCACAGTCATAGTGGGCCTCCTCCTAGCCATACATATATATGCGACCGTAAGGCAGCCCAACCAAAACCCCAAGTATTTGAACATACCTGCAATCACATCAAAAGTCAAACAAGAGTCCACACACTACGCGGAGTCAACTCCAACCAATTCCTATACTCATACCCCTCGCTTTAGCCATGCAAACCCCAACCTCCAGCCAACCAACCTCAATTAAATACTCAGTACCTTAGTTAAATGGCCATTCAATAAAAGTCCGGGTGAAACCCTTAACAAACAGAAAGATCACCAGGGCTAAAGCTTTTTAGGTTGAGTATGGGGAACGAGTAGGAACTGAGTCGTGAGCCGACGAATCGGCAACCGACCTGTTATCAATGATAACAGAAGATGATCCTTGTGGATCAAGCTGGAACAAGTCCAGGTCCTGAATCAACCAGTCAAGAGGACCTGTAACACATGACAGGTCAATGCCCAAGCTAAATCATCAACATATGGGTAATGATCCCCCATAGCACATTCTAACCCAATTCACCTTACAACTAAATCAGAGTCTACCCCTAAGCCGGTGCCCAAGCAGAGGTAGACTAAGGGCAGGATCTCCCCTATTTAGGATGGATTGCCAGAATCACTACCTGTCAAAATATAATCTATCTCCTTTAAACTAAAGAAATTTCGGCAGCGCTTCCCGTATGAAAAGTGTCTTTTC